ACATGCCACATAGTGTCTATAAAGAAAGATGTTCCAGATGATTTCTCTCACCAAAGAGAGTTCAATCATTCCTCTGACAAAGTTAAGGATGATCAGCTCAAATCAATTAGAAACTGATCTGGGTTGGATCTTCCTTATGGTGTTGGCAAGATGCAGTGTACCTCCATTTCATCGCTATTTCTGGGGCATGGCAATCCAGGGCTTCCACTTATGGGCTGGGGCTCCCTTTATCTCTTTAGCAAGAAGACAATATGAGAGTTTCCACTCTTGTGTTTTGGTGGTTTCTGGCTTATATTTTAAATCTCTTACCCCAAGCAACTTTAGAATTTTCAAATGTCGCAAAAGGGAGTTCACTGTGTGTTTGAGGCCCCATGAGTCTCCAATTTTGGTACCCTAATCCTGTTCAATCACCAAACGTTCTGGAAATTTTCCTGAGCCCAGCTGAAGTCTTCTTCTTTTGTTCTTAGAGGGTATATGTGCCTAGTTTCTCAGAAAAATGTGGTTTATGATTGTCAGTGGCATATGACAGATCTCTCCACAGTTTTATACGTTTTATTTTCAAAACCTAAATTCACAGCAGACCTTTGTATCTTAAGCACTAAAAAATTGGGGGAAATTCCATGTTGCTTTTCCAAAAATTTTAGTGCTTTCCATTTATTGCATGATAAAGCTTTGAATTTAGAAGATGTCTGGAATAGGATACCTACCATTTGTTTGAGGTTCCTCACATGTCCAATTTTGACATTCCTGCACTGTAATGGCCAGAAACTCTGTAAAAGCCCATATTCTCAGTCTCTTGCCCATATTCCTAATTGGCAAATTCCTTCAGGGACATTTGGAGGTCTTTAGCTCACCTCTAAATAGTTACAACCTTTCTTGAATTATGCTCACTCTAGTCAATATTGATGAGTTTATATATATATGATGCAAAAAGTGATTCCCCAAATATAACCAACATTACCAATGAAAAGACAAAGCTGAGTTTATTGCTTACCTTAGTAAGGGAGAATACCACCTCACAGAGCTTTGGCTGTTTCTGGGGGAAGAGGAATAAGGAGAGAATTTATTAAGAATGAGAAGTTTGGTTTAAGGTGGGTCTTTCAAAGCAAGAGTTTGATTAGGTTTGGCTAGAGATCAATAGACAACAGTCCAAGTGTAGTGGAAACAAGGTAAGACCTTTATGGCAAGAGATTCAAAGAATTTAGGAAATAAACTGTCTGTTGTTGCTTTCCATTGAAGAACCCACAGATTATTCAGGACATTTCTATAATGAGCAATCAAAACATTTGCCTGAGCAAAAAACTCCTGGAAATATTAAATGATGCTAATGAAAACAGGAATAGCAAAGTGATGTTCATGTAGACATTAAAGTATGGTTTTAATTCTTAGTGTCCAGGTCTAGTATTGAGGCAGTAGACAGTTTCTCTTCTATATACTTGTAATTTATCTTTCTTTCTCCCTAGAAGTTCTCAATGGGAGCAAAAACCTACTATGAATTGTCACCTACTACCTCAAGTGGAAGGCTTATACATGTTTAAATTTTTCAATGAAAATAGAGGTTATTGAATTATGTATATACTATATCTCTTTCTTCTGTAAGTAATTCATACATGGTAGATATCTGATCAGTTGCCTACAAAGTCTTGTGCAATTTTCTGATATCAGATAATTTAAAATCAGGTGTAGCAAAGTGATACCATCTGTGGTGCCTTCCTTGCATACTCAAATCTAAAACTAACATCCCGTATCATCCTTGTGATATACAGGTTGATCAGATATTAAAAAGGTAAATCTTACCTCTATCTATATGCCTAACAGCTGTGATTTCTAGGGCACTCAAATAATAAGTACAATTAGCTTACTGTTATAAGAAAGTTTCCCTCCATCCCATTTTACCCTTTATCTCTTATGTCAGGGACATTTAGAATCACAATGGAGTGGTGCAGAGTCGCAGGAATTGTTCAGCAATTGCAAGTATTGTTTTACAAAGGCAAATAGAATGGTCTCTTTCTACAACAATCCTAAAGGCTTGGACCTCTGCGCACAGGTTCTAATAGATCACTCGGTTAGTGATAGGTTATCACTCTCCTCCCTCAAGAGTAGGAATAGAGAAAGTGGGTATTTTTATCCTTTAATGTACAAAATTCCAAACAGTTGCATTTTGTAAAATGTAAATTTGTAAAGAAAGCCTATTTGGAAAATTAGTTTTATGTAGTAAATTTTTAAAACATTTCTCAAATTATCTCATTACTATCCTTATTATCACAGTAAATAAAAATTTTGTTAAATTCCCAATATGGCCATATTCTGCTAAAATAACTAACTTTCATTTTTGTTTAAAGAGTCTACTTGCACTTTACCAACCCTGTCACTAAACTGTCCCAAATCATAAAATAAGTTCAATATTGTGCACATGTAGGTAGAAGCATCACACTGCAAATGAAGAGGAAAAATTAAATTCTTATTTGAGCTCACCATAATGGAAATTTTTTCAACTTGTAGAACTTCCATAGTGGATTGAAGTTGTGAAATTCTTGCCCTTACAAATGAGTAAACCAAAGTAGTCTGACCAGTTTTCATTTTGATTTAGAAGTGGATTTGTTTGGGATATGCATTTTAACAAGATCACCTCTAAGATTCTGCAGATATGACATTCACTAAACCCATTTTATGCTGTTCAAAAAAATGTAGAGCCTATAATGTAATTAGTGTAGTTCCACTAACTACAACTAGCCTTTAAATATTGCACAAGGTATGTAAGACTAATTAAGTTGATGATGAGATCCTGTATTTACTAACTAGGTGGCTTTGCCATCACTTTGATGATCTCTGCCATAAGATACTTATCTATAAGTTCTTCCATCTTCTCAGAAAGCACTTTCTGATACCAAGATCTACAGAGGCCTCCACTGGGCTCACTCTTCAATGTCACTAAAAAAAAAAAAATCAATTTTTAGTACTGAAAATAATAGGTAATCTTGTGAGCTTCCATGTGGTTTTGGAAATAATTTAAATGGCAATAATTATATTTTTAATTATTTGAACTATTTGCAAAACTCCTCCACAATAAAGGGGATCCTTTCTAGGATCCAAGTGTCATTAATAAAAACCCCAATACTACTGAGAGTGAAAATTTCCTATTTAAATTAACAATAGCAGTATTTCTATTATAATTACCAATGTGTTTTTAGAAAAAAAATCACAATGGCAATAACCCTACAAATTATTCCCCAGGTGTCCCTTGGAAATGAACATGTTTGGAATCCTTCAGTTCTTGGGTCCCTGCTGACATAGGAATTCGTATAAAAGTTCCTGGTTCTATTGGTGAAACTATTCACCTGGGTAATTGGAAAATAACTTCTTCCTTGCTAAGTAGCTTCTGTAGTTACTAGACTGGTTTTAATGGCGCAAAAATGAGTTTTTGTGGGTTTGAGAGGAAGAACCACTGATTTGTGTCCCAAGAGTTGGGAAACCACACATCAGTTAATATTGTACCCACAAAGTCATCTACCTTGCATAACTCTTTCTTTTATAGCTTCACAGGGATCTGAAACACTTTGTTTAAATAAGCTTTTTTGTTAAAGAAAAGAGAACTGAAGCATGGCTGGCTACTGATAGTTTGAATTAATTTCTTTTCTATGCTTAGATTGTTCTTGTTATATATTTGGGAAGAATTTAGTAAACCATAGTATTTTGAATGGATCTTTTTGTTCTTTCCCTTTTAAAGCAGGGATCCAGGATTCTCTACCTTCTCTTGCCTTTAATCTCATGGCTTTTTCTCTTTCCTCTCACATTTCTCTAAATGGAATTCTTAGACTATCAGAAAGGATGATCAATGTGAAGTTCTCAAGAACACGTGCCCTGCTTTTTCAGTAAATACATGAGTCATTCCTTTCTCCCTTCACCAATACTATGCAACTTAGCGTGTCTCACAGGGCACACACTATTAATATTCTAATGACCCTCATGTCTGTTCTCACAAGATTTGGCAGTGGATATACCTGAATTTGAGTTATACCTGTCAACTACTATCTGAATGACTTGTGACGTTACTCTAAGCCTCAAAGTTCTTATCCAAAATATGGAATTAATAGCAAGAATTTAGCTTATAGAGAGCCAGTGTATCACAAAGCGTGGAATCAGGACCTTGAGTTATATCCTCTTTTTATCACATCTTAGCTCTAAAACTCTCTGTGCCAGAGTTCTCTCATCTGTAAAAGAAAGGTGATAATGATAGTAACTGCATTGAAAGTCCAATGTTAGTTTTTTTATGTGACAATTAAATGAACTATATGTAAAGTGTTTAGAATATTACATTGCATGTAATAATCATTATATAGATTATAGTCATTATTAATATAAGCTTGCCACATAGCACTAGTCATAAGCTGGTCTTAATGGATATAGTAAATGCCTCAGAAAAGTGTGTGTGTGTGTGTTCATATGTAGAATATCTCATTTACAAGGGTAGATTACTGGATGAGGGAAGAAGCCAGATTCTCTTGGTTCATATGCCAGCTCTGCACCCAGCTAGTCAGTGGCACTTTGACTAAGTTATTTAATTTTTCTATGCCTCAGTTAACTTATCTGTAAAATGGGGAAAATATAGTATCTATGTCATTGATTGTTGATGGTTAACTGAATAAATGCTGAGAATAAGGCCTGTACCATTTTGAGTACTTGATATTAATTATATATATTTTATGATATCTAATATTAATTAAAATGTATAATCTACCATAAGATGATGAGAGTCAGAAATGTTAGGAAAGCAACAATACAAAATCAAATACATTTTCTTTCTTTTTTTTTTTTAAAGATTGGCACCTGAGCTAACAACTGTTGCCAATCTTTTTTTTTTTTTTTTTCTGCTTTATCTCCCCAAACCCCCCAGTACGTAGTTGTATACCTTAGTTTCAGGTCCTTCTAGTTGTGGGATGTGGGACACCGCCTCAGTGTGGCCTGACAAGCAGTGCCATGTCCGCACCCAGAATCTGAACCCTGGGCCCCTGCAGCGGAGCACATGAACTTAACCGCTTGGCCACGGAGCCGGCCCCCAAATACATTTTCTGAAGTGCAGTTTAACAATGTGTTGATAACCTTCTACACCCTCTCTACTCCAAAGTAATTTGGAATCTTTTTCTAAGTATCAGCTTGAATAATATAGGTTAATTGCAAGGCAAAATATTTATTTTCCTTTCTATCTTTTATTTTTCATACACTAAAGTACTACTGAGAGTGTAGAACATTCTCTGGCATCTCAGAAACAGAATCAGTTACCTAATGTATCACCTGAGTCCTCGTGGAGAGATCATCCCACATGCCATGGTGGAATACCACACAGGAAATGTGTATTTGAAGACTGAAATTGGAGGACGTGTATCATTGCAAAAAGTATTTCAGTAACTGATATTTTTGCTGCACATTATTTATTATTATTATTAATTTGACTCTATGATACTATATATTTACAAGCTTTGACCCAGAAAAATCAAAGTCTAGAAGCAAGTATAAATCCATGCACTTTTTTGTTGTAAAAATCCACAAGATACAGCCCCAGTTGCTGTCAGTTTTAAATTCACTTAAGAATTCTCTCTTTGGATTTCTGACCAAAAATGCTTCCCCTGAGCATTTCCGTTGTTCCATTTTGTAAGAAGAGAACACAGTCACTCATGGCTACAGCACTCTGTAATATGATATTGTTTCATATTTCCTTAGCTAAGGTTTACTTGATTAAGCTTATGAAGAATCACACAGAGCAATATCAAATGCAACATATCTCAACGTAGCTTTTCATGCCCCCTAAGTTCTCATCATGTGCCAACATCTATCTATTAGTGAGTTTCTACATTGTAATTTTACATATCCAGCTGCAAATGAAAATCTTATTTTTGCTACACCACGGCCTTTTGATACTCAATGATAATTAAATCACAAAATATTATGTCACTTATGAGAAAATATAGCTGTTTCCAAGCGAGAGAATAGCTAGAAATAGAGGATATCAGTATTTTTTCAAGGTCCACTGGTGATTCCAATGTTCAATCTGGAGAAGCACTTAGGTGAAACCTTAACTCAGGTGTTCCTGCTTAGTAAAGGTTCTGGAGACTGCTGTCATCTGCTGAGCTTTCTAGATGGTCTATACTGCTCATTCTACAAGTAGCACCTAGATTTCATCATCCTGAGGCCTCCAAAGGTTGCTAAATTCCCAACACTGTGTGCTAGCTAGCAAGGCCTGAATTTCCTGATCTAGCATAGTCAGGATTTCTGAGGACACCCGTTCACCTATAATTTGAGTAAGGCCTTCCCTGTGCTTTTTGCTGAAGCCTGTATGGTTCCTGTGCAATTATTGAAGCCACCTAATGCTCATTTCAGTAAAAGTAGCAGAACCGAACCACCATAAATATTGTGGGAACAGGAGATTTATGTTCAGATGTCATGAAAATTCCTCTTTTTACTAATTTTACTAATTTAATAATTCTGAAACCAAACTGAGAAGAAGATTTGGGCAATGTAGTTCCCAGCCATAACCAAGTTAACAACAAGATCCCAAACACTTCAACCCTTTTCAACTTGCCACTCATACACATTTCATTTTATCATATTTAACTTTCAAAAAAGACAGCAGAAAAGTATGCTTATTTTTTCAACAGATGTATACAACTTAAAGAAAAAGAGTATACTCAAAGTTTCCTATGTCATTTTATTCATATGGGTGACTTAGGATTCTTACAGCCAAGTCACATACAACCTTTGATATCCTACAGCTTGCTAAAATGTCGAGATAGAAGGTGAACCCTTCTTACTATATCTTGTGTTAGGAAGTAGGCGAATGGGAGAGGAGGGGAATATTGGTTAATATATTTACAAATATATTCACATCAAAGCAAAAGAAAAAAATACTCATAAGTCCTGCAGCTTTAGTTTCAGCTCCTGGTCACACGATCATACATGGCACATATAACTGCCTTTTTTCCACAACCTACTCCATGTTCTCTTTAACTTCAGCAAACATCTAGGTTGTTTTGATTTCTTGTCTTATGAAGTGGCCAAAAACTTTATCTTCAAGTATGAATATCATTAGTAGTTCTTTCTATTTGACACTGTTATAGAATTTTATTAAATTTTAAATAATGGATATGAGACTTCTAAAAGGTGCCCCAGAGTCTCTCCTGCATTCCAGGAACACTCCCCACTACACTCATTGTGTAGCAGCAATCAAATGTTTCCTTCATATTCAAGAAAAATCATGCAAACAGTAGAGAAATCCTTTTTTGCTTATTGGTTAAGTAGCATGAAGTTCTCAAAGTGAACAGGTAGCAGTCTTGGCATCTGGTTCAATGGAATCATTTTTGTGTTCCTTGTAGGAAGAATTACCTCCATCTATCTGTCTATCTATCTATCTATCTATCTATCCATCTCTGTTTCTCTCTCTTTCTTTTTTTAGGAACAAAGACCAGCAAACCTTAAATTGTGAGGATGGGAAGCAAAATTTTTGTTAGTGAACCATTAAGAAGAATAGTGAGAAATGCTACCTCCTTTTCCACGTTTTGATTCCCAGACTCAAAATCCTGGCTATTGGGGAAAAAAGCATCATAGATATAACAGCAGTTTAAAGCACATGCTGCACTCTGGAGAACATGATCCGAGCCCCAGAAAGTGTTGGCTTAACTGGTGGCAAAATGAAGCCTTCAACAAACCTGTAAAGTTTTCAACAAAGTCATGTGCTTTAGGATGATGGGGAATGTTGTAAGACTAAAGAGTTTTTAAGCATAAGCAAATTGTCACGTTTCCTTTGCTGTAAAATGAGCCACTTGGTTTGAAGCAATGTTATGTGACAGAATATGATGATGAATAAAGAATTCTATAAATCCAAAGACAGTAGTTTTGACAAAAGAATTTTGGTCAAAAATGATAAATCCATATTGAGAGTAACTCATATTCTAGTAAGAATAAAGTACTGATTCTTCCAGATGAATGAAATCAAATGTAATCAATTTGTGAGATGCTGGCTGGACCCTCAGGGAACGTGCCATGTATGTCTGATGATTGTATTCACTCTTGGCACATTTGGCGCTGGAGAGTGGCTGTGGCCACATCAGCCTTGGTGAGTAAAAGCCCTTGTTATTAGCTCTATGCTCCTTCTCCACACCTGATGCCATTATCATTTTAGCCTCATTGAAAAATCTGGAAATGTGTTCCTCATTTTTAGTTCTCTGAAGGGTTTAGGCAAGGTTGATGTTACTCATGTATCAATTGTGTGAATTGTCTAATAAAACTTGAAGCTATCTGAATCTAGGGTTTTCTTAATGGGCAGTTTTTTTTTTTTAAATAACTGCTTAATGGTGGTAGTAATAGAGCTAGAAAGATGGGGAGAGGCAAAGGAAAGCTTTTATAAGGTAAGAATAAGTTGAAGGAAATCATGCAAATACACGAAACTACATAACATAATTGGAGAATAATGAATGGCCTTTCTTCTGACTGGTACATAGGGTACATAGACGAGATTAGTAAGAAAAAGAAAGCACTGTCCTGATAATTTTCAAAGGTATATATAATATATATTTGTATATTTCAAATATACACATACATATACACATTTCTAAAAAGGAAACATAAGCCTTCTGTTATCAAAATTTTCACCTTTCGTAGGCACAATTGATTTCAGATGTTTATTTCTGAATCTGTTAGACCATCATACACTGCTTTTGTGATTCTTTCGCAGCTTTTCAGTACTAGGAATATTCATGTGAATCATCTAGACCAAGTATTTCTGGTAAGGAAACTAAGGAACGGAGAATTTGGATGAATCAAACACCTAGAGATAGTTGGATAAAGAATTGAGTCTAGAAACAGGCTTTCTTTCTTTCTGCATGGTCCATTTATAGAACAATGTGGGATAATTTGATGAATATGTAGCTATTAATAGAAGGTACTATTTTTTTCTCTTTCTGCCAAATATCCTTGATTACACCATCACCACCCTGAAAACAGTGAAAATATCCATCACCCCTTGAAATTTCCTTGTGCTCCTTTTTCATCCCTCGTTTTCACTCCACATCAAGGAACCACTGATATGGATTTTGTCACTATAGATTAGTTTACATTTTATATAATTTTGTGTAAGTAGAATCACACAGTATATACTGTCTCTTAGGTGCCTCCTTCCATTCACCATAATTATTTTGAGATTCATTTCTATTGTTTCATGTTAGTATTCCAATGAATGAATATATCACCATTTGTGTAGCCATTCACCTATTGAGGGATATTTGAATTGTGTTCCTAGTTTTGTGGCTATTAAAAATAAAACTGCTATCACATTCATGTACAAGTCATTATACGAACAAATGATTTAAATTCTCTTGGGTAAATACTCAAGAATGAAATAGTTGGATGATAGTGCAACTATATGTATAACATCCTTTGAAATTGTCAAATTGGTTTTCAAATGATATAGCATATTACATAACCTATGGCAGTGCATGTGAGTTTAGGTTCCACAACTTCTTCCTTAATATTTGGTATAAGAAGTATTTTTAATTTTAGCCCATCTAATAGGTATATCATGGTTTCTTACTGTTGCTTTGACTCATATTTACCTAATAACATGATGCTAAGCACATTCTTAAGTGTTAATTGACATTTATATATCTTCTTTGGTGAGGTATCTTTTCAAATAATTCCATTTTTTTATTGAGTTGTGTGTTTTCTTATTTTTGACGAGATTCGTTATGTATTCTGGCTACACATTCTTTATCAGAAGTAAGAGTTGCAAGTATTTTCTTCAGTCTATCTATCTATCTATCTGTCATCTATTGATCTAACATCTGTCTCTAACAGTCTACTTACCTATCTATCAGCTATCTATCTTACATAATAGTACATAACAGTAATATCAAATTATCCCAAAAAAGCGTCTGATAATAATAATAAATGTTTCCTGGAAAAAATTATCTCATTACATTCTGTTATCTTTTCTTATATAAACACTATCCCAGAAATACATGGTTTAAAATAGCAGCCACTGGGCTATATTCTCTGTTTCCTCGTGTTGACTGAGGTCACATGGTGACCTAGATGTTGGTCTAGGCCGTAGGGTCTTTCATAACTGTCTCCAGGATGAGAATGGCTAGAAAGATTGACTCAAGTGCTCCCCTTCCCACTGCATGTAACCTCAGAGTGTGTCAAATGGTTTTCTAGAAGGTTAGCTGGACTTCCTATGCGGCATCTCATGGCTTTCAGAGACTATCTTCTTAAAGGCTAGATTCAGAAGTGATACACAATATTTCTTCCAATTTCTGTTAGTCAAAGCATTTAAAAGACAAGAAAAATTCAAAAGGGTAATAAATAGGCACTCTGTCTCTAAGGAAAGTGTGTAAAGATGTGTACAGTCATCTTTAATGTGCCAAAACTATCATGAGCCCCTTGTAAGACTCTAAAATTCACATTCCAGATTCTTTTATGAATAGCTTTTAACATTTTAATTAAATTCATGAGTGTGTAGTATGTGATCTCTTTTTGCTGTGCATGTACTTAGCAAAGCCATTGAATGTAGCAATACTTGAATAGCACACATATAGAAAGAAGAGTGACAGATATTTTAATCTCAGGTCATTGTGAAAGCAACATTAGCTCTGGGATCTTTGGAGGTAGTCATATCATATCAGATATCAAGATGGTAGACCAAGGTTCAAGAAGTATGGGGAATAACAATGCTATCTCTTGGGAAGTATTTAGGGAGGATATAAAAGAGAAAATTCCAGTATTTCTCAATTTGCAAAGAACTAGTATGGAAAATCACATACTAAAATTATTTTTAGAAAAACAGTGTAACTCTGCTTTTTTTTAGAAAAAGTATTATCCATGCAAACATGTTTAAGTGAATCATTCTTGTACACATGAGCTATATTAATGGAAAAAAATCCCCAAATCCAGTGTATTTTTATTCTTTGTTCATCACCTTCCATTTTTAGTAGTCTGAAGTACTTAACAATAAATATGTAGAAAGCATTTACCTTGAAAAATCCTTGTTTTAGCGACTTCAGGGAATATAAAAAATAAACATTGATCTTATTCCTGAAACCTTAAGTGTAATAGAGAAATTCTTATATGAATAAATTAAATATAATTCAAGAAAGAGAGTATTAAGTGTGGAGAATGTGATGGAATCATAAGATGAATGAAATGCATGTAAGTGACATGTAACGAGGGGATGGGGGTAAGAAAATACTTGGAGATGAGAGTGGTCTTGAAAGGTAGCATTAACAGAACGTTCATAGCATCATTATGCATAACAGCCAAAATGTATAAACAAACCAAATCTTCATCAACTGATAAATAAATCAACAAAATGTGTCATATCTATGAAGAAAATATTATTCAGCCACAAAATGCTACAAAATTATGACACTTGCAAAGACATAGATGAACTTTGAAAACAAGATGCTGAGTGAAAGAAGCCTGATGCACAAGAAAACCCATATTGTATGATTCTGTTTACATGAGAAGTACAGAATATGGAAACATATAGAATCAGAAAGTAGATTAGTGATTGCCAGAAGCTGAGGACAGGGGATAAAGAGAAGTGACAGCTAATAGTTATGGGTTCCTTATTGGAATGATGAAAAATGTTCTGGAATTAGGTAGGGGTAATGGCGGTACAACCTTGTGAATATACTGAAACCCAAAGAAGTATACACGTTAAAGGGTGGACTTATAGTATATGAGTAATATTTAGAAAAAAATATGTCATTGAAGATTAGTAATATTCATAAACATGGTCATAGATGAGAATGTTTCAAAAATGGAAGAAACAAAATGAACAATAGAAAGGAGGTGGAAAGGATTAAGTAGGGTACTATTTGAATTTCATTGGAGTCTGCTTTGACTACAGAAGGAGGTAGCTGTGAAGCAATCATAAATATCATTTGCAGTTTTTTTTCCTAACATAGACCAATTAAGTGACAGTAAGTGAAGCATAAAGACTCAGTCTTTACTGAAATTGTCACTGTATTCATGGGGGAATATACAGAACCAGAAATATAATTAATGACATATTTACATAACACCAAAGCCTAAGGGCAACAGCTTCAGAGATTTAAGTCCCAAATGTTACCTGGTAAAATAAAATGTCATCTGCCTATTGTTTAGCTACTGAAGACCTACTCATCTCAGGTAGGTTCTCAAGTCTCCAAATTTAAAGACTATATGGGGAAAAAACTTAATTTTTTGGAAAAAAATGAGAGATTTGTAAATGAATCACTTTATGCCTGTTTATTCAGTTTAATAAACTGAAATTTAAGGGCCACAGATGATCTTTTCTTCTCAGGACTGACAGAATTTGACTGAAATTATTAATTTTCACTAAATAAGATTTTAATCATTTTCTTTTTATCTAGGTTTACTGGAAAGCCTTTAAGCCTTTTATCACTGAGCAAGCACATACATGAATTTTACTGGGTTTTTTAAATTTTAAAAGGAATTGAGGTACCACATTACAAAAAACATATACAAATAACACCATGGGGACCATATGCCATATTTAAAGTCTAAAAAAATGTATCCATCACCCACATTCCAATTCTTATATATCAACAAAGACATACACATATGCAAACAGATGACATGACATGCACACATAAATACAAACGTACACAAGGAAGAGAAGCCTATATATCTGAGAAGCATTTATTGTCCCTCGTACTCCTTCCATTTTTTAATATAAAATACTATTTGAAATCCAAAGAGATGCAAATGCATATGTTAAATTCTGTTGTTTCAAATTCTTTTTAGGACTCTTCTTTGTTTGGTCAAGAGACTCCTCCGTTGGCACCAGACCACTCCACAAATAGGTAACGAATATTGTGACAAAGCAATACCACACTTCTAGAGAAAAGGTCAATAATGTTTATTTCCTGTCTCACCAAATACTAAAGACAACATAGACCAAGACCAGTAACATAATTTTTTCATTATTATCAGTTAGAGATGCTCATTGTGTCTAGAATTAACACAAAATCATTTAAACCAACGCTGTTTCTGAAGAACATAACCATGGTAATCGTTTTTTTGTGTCCATGTGATTATTTTCGAGCATAGAAAATGGTTCGCCCTGTATCCTAAAATATGGTCTCTCTAACCTTGATGTTTCCTCTGTATCATTTTGGAGATGTAATGAGACCTAAAATCATCCAAATCTCTTCCTTGAGATAAAGAAGGTAATGCTCAGAGAAATTAAAGAGCTTGTACGAAGTCGCATACTTCAGGAATGGCATCTAGGCTTAGATCAAAGTTTCTCAACTCCTTATTCCAGGTATTTTTTATTATTGTTTTACAGACTGCAATGCCTTTTTAAAGAATGACACATGACCGGGTAATTTTCTGAGTATAAAAAAGACAATTGCAGAAAGAAATTATGTTCTGCCTCATGGATATTTGTGGATGTCCAGAAGAGTTAAACATGCATCTATCCTTTTCTTGATCATTTTCTCAAAAATTTAGACAAGAAAAAGAAGAATGAATAGAGGAAATTGCTCCTCCATGACTGAATTCATTTTCCTTGGAATCACCAACAACACTAGGATGAAAGTAACCCTATTTACCATGTTTCTGGTTGTTTATCTCGTTAATCTTCTGGCAAATCTTGGAATGCTCATTTTAATTAGAATAAATTCCCAGCTGCACACACCAATGTACTTCTTCCTCAGCCACCTCTCTTTCTGTGACCTCTGCTATTCCACAGCAGTTGGGCCCAAGATGCTGGTGGACTTGTTTGCCAAGAACAGATCAATCCCCTTCTTTGGCTGTGCTCTGCAATTCTTGATCTTCTGTATCTTTGCAGATTCTGAGTGTCTACTGCTGGCAGTGATGGCCTTTGATCGGTACAAGGCCATTAGCAACCCCTTGCTCTATAGAGTCAACATGTCCAGCAGGGTGTGCTCCCTGCTCATGGCCGGGGTTTATCTGGTGGGAACGGCAGATGCTTTGATACACACAACATTAACATTCTGCTTATGTTTCTGTGGGTCAAATGAGATTAATCATTTCTTCTGTGATTTACCACCACTTTTCATCCTTTCCTGCTCTGATATACAGGTCAATGAGTTGGTGTTATTCACCATTTTTGGCTTCATTGAACTGAGTACCATTTCGGGAGTTCTTATCTCTTATTGCTATATTATCCTGTCAGTCTTGAAGATCCACTCTGCTGAGGGGAGGTTCAAAGCTTTCTCCACCTGCATCTCCCACCTAATCACTGTGGCAATTTTCCAGGGAACTATGCTCTTCATGTATTTCAGGCCAAGCTCTTCCTACTCCCTAGATCAAGACAAAATGTCCTCGTTGTTTTACACCCTTGTGATTCCTATGTTAAATCCTATAATTTATAGCCTGCGGAACAAGGATGTGAAAAAGGCCCTGGAAAGAATGGAAACTAATAGATGGTTTTAAATACGTAATTTAAATACACACGCACAAACTCATATTGTGGTTGTTGCTTTTGTAAAATTGTATGGCATGATACAAGAGAAGCAAATGTGTCTCAAATACTTTGATTTAATAAAATTAGTATTTGTTTTTTTTTTTTTGAGGAAGATTAGCTCTGAGCTAACTACTGCCAGTCCACCTCTTTTTGCTGAGGAAGCCTGGCCCTGAGCTAACATCCATGCCCATCTTTATCTACTTTATATGTGGGATGCCTACCACAGCATGGCTTGCCAAGCGGTACCATGTCCGCACCCGGGATTCGAACCGGCGAACTACGGGCCCCCGAAAAGTGGAACATGTGAACTTAACTATTGTGCCACCGGGCCGGTCCCTAGTATTTGTTTTAAAGCTCACAGATAATATTCAGTTCCTCAAACATGTCATAGTTCGTGATGTGTCTAGAATTTACATATGATACTCTTTCCTTGTTGAAATCTTTCCTGACTTCCAATTTTGGCAGATATTTATTGATTTGTTTTTTGTTCAAATACTAATTTATTACACTAAAATTAATTGTGTATTTACTAAGTGAACTTTTAACTTTTAAGTGCTTTGTATTCCGTGGTACATCCAGTAGTTTCTATACCAATGAATCCTATAATCTAGTGGGAGTAATTGACGTTAATTGACTAAGCACTCAAATAATTCATAAGCCTCAAAATAATATGAGTTAAAAACTGAGGGCTTTATATCTAAAGCAAAATGTTTCATATAAGATAATGTCTTTGTTGGATGGACATATTGAGTCTCAAATCTAAAAAGATGCAAGATGAGAGAGGAAAAGGTGGTAGGCAGAGGATCTGACAATTAGAGAAGTCTTAACTTGGACAAGTTCATGACTCTTTAGAGATAAAGAAGTCGTGGTTGCTACAACATGGATGAATCTTGAGGGCATAATGCTAAGTTAAATAAGTCAGACAAAGAAAGACAAATACTGTATGATCTCATTTATATGTGGAATATAAAAACGGTGAACTCAGAAACAGAGAGTATATTGGTGGTTGCCAGGGGCTGAAGTTTGGGGGAAATGTGTAGATGTTGGTCAGATGGTACAAATTTTCTGTTATAAAATGAAGTTCTGGGGATCTAATGTACAGCACGGTGACTATAGTTAAAAATATTGTATTGCATATATGAAATTTTCTAAGAAGGTAGATCTTAAATGTTCTCAACACAACAAAAAAATGGTAACTATGCGAGGTGACGGATTTGCTTATTAACCTATAGTGGAAATCGATCACAAATTATACATATATGAAAACATACATTGTACACCTTAAACATACCCAATGTTATTTACTGATTTTATCTCAATAAAACTGGAAAAAAGAAGAAGAAAATAATTCCAGTTGGTTTGGTTATAAAGAGCAGTGAGAAGGGCCCTGTAAAGTACATCATTGTGCTGTA